GAATAAAGATTGGGAGACGGAAGAAAACAACGCACCCAAGCGAACCACCCCCGCGTATAATCCGTCGACGAGTAGATCGACTGCGACTCGTGGATGAGGCCGAGGCCGGCGGTGTTCTGCGTCAAACATAATTTAATCAGTAATCATTTTTCGTGTGATAGAATTGGTATCCCGCCGAGAAAGGAGAAAAGAGAAAGTAGGTCGCGGAGGCAAGGATGGAGGAGGAGGACGAAGAAACGAGAAAAACTTACATTCGCGATCAAATACAACCTTTGCACGATTTCCGCGTCGTCGTCCGTCCCGAAGATGGCGCTGATCTGCGACATGGGCCACGGGTGCCAGGCGTCGACGTGTGGGCCTCTGTGTGCATATAAGGATAAGTTAGCAACTTGGATGGGGAACGAAAACGGGAAGAAAAGGGAGGAAGGAAGGGAGGTGGAAGGCGCTAGGGGAGGGCGGGGGTATCGGGGAATGCAGGAAACAGGGAAGGAAGGAATGTGTTGTGCCGCGGAAGGCAGCACGGAAAACGGAGGAAGGGAAGGAAAGAAGAACGAAATACAGAGAGTCGAACTCGTGAACGAAAGCGAGAAAGAAAGAAATGCCCGGGAGAGGGAGAACCAGAGTAAAAGAGCGAGACACGCACCCAGCCCCACTAAAATTCGCCCCCTTCGCCCAATACGGGTTCCCCCTCGACAGCAGCACCTTGCGCGTCGCCACATACGCGGGGTGGGCTTTATCCAAGAACCCGAGATACGGCAGGGAGAGGAGCGAGGGCACGTTGGCGTCGTCCATTACGTAGCGGCCGCCGAAGCCTGTGTGTTGCGTAAACAGAAATAATAATAAAAAGATGAGAATTTGGGTTATAAAGGGGAAGGGAGGGAGCGAGCGAGCGAAGAGAGGAGCAAAGGGAAAGAGACAAAGGGCAAGAGAACGCAAAGGTAAAGAGAAGGAAGGAAGGCAAACACACCATTCGTCTCATACGCAAATATATTATCCACCAGCGTATTCGCCCACACCGACGCCGAGACCCGATCGCTCCACTCCCCGCCTGCTGCGCGAACGATTTTGCTTGCGTGCCTGTGCGGGGTGGTGTTAGTTAGTGTCGGAATATAGCGTGGTATTAGTTATAGGTCTCCGACGAGGATCCTCGCATAGAGCATAGAGCATATAGCGAATGCAAGAGGAAGGAGGATGCGGGAATTCATCCTCGAATCCCCGGTGAAGACGCGAGCAGGCAGAGAACTACGAAAAACAAACGCACTGCTCTTAGTCTGCCCCGACGTCGTCAATATATCCTTCAGATGCGCGAGCTCGACGGAGAGCATGGCGTTCGCGGGCGTGAGGAACGCAAAGACGGAGATGTCGTCGGAGGGGCGGTGGTGCGTGCCGACCATGCCTGCGTTGCGGTGAGTGTCAAAGTATAACGGGAGCGGGGGGAAATGGAGAAAGAAAGGAGAAAGGATGGCAGGGTAGGGAGGAGGCGCGGGGTCGCGTCCAACCACCTCGCGCGCACCGATAAAAACGCGAGCCTCCGAGGTACATACCCACCCACGCCCGTCCCGCCGCCTCATCGATATAACACCCCAAAGCGTCTCTTCAAAAGTTCCAAAAAAAAAAAAAAACGCACCAGTATACGCCTTCGGCTCCCCATTCCCCGCATTCGGCACCGCCGGGCTCAGCGCGCCGTTCCCGCCTGTCCAGTTGTAGTACGAGATGCGATTAAAGTTGGCGTCGAACGTGGGCTGGGACTGCTCGTTGACGACGCGCAGGATTTGCGTTATGGCGGCGTACCCTGTGCGAACGAACGAGGTGAGTTGTGCGAACTTTACACGAAGGGGTGCACGGAGGATAAAGGGAGGAGAACGCACAATTGGCATTCATAAACGACGCGTCCTTGGTCGCGCCATAGTACGCCCTCGACAACTTCAGGAACCCGCAGAGCGAGTCGATCTCGTATTTGCACTCGAAGACCGTCTGGTTGTTCACGGGGGGGTTCACAGTGACGCCGTCCGCCCAGTCGTTGTGGCTCGGTGCCAGCCCGGACTCGGGCGGGGGCTGGAACGAGCCGCAGTAGGGATACTGCGACACGTAGCGCGCCTCGTTGTTGATGACGGCTTTGACGAGCGTGGCGAGGGAGGGGTCGACGGAGAGGAGGGCGGTGTAGTGCGCGAATTGGTTGGCGGTGTCGCGGAGCCATTGGGCTGTTATGTCCTTTAAAAATGATAAAATAATAGGTTAGTGAGCAGAGCAGATCAAAGTGGAATATGAGGAAACAAGGGACGGAAACGCACCCCAGTAATAATAAACGCCAAATTCTGTGTCGCGTTAAAGTACTTCACGGTCGTGTCGAGCGTATTGGGGAAGGTGTTCTCGAAGAGACGCGCGATGTCGGGGTCTTTAAGGCGCGCTTTCATGTCTGTGACGACTTTCTCTACGGCGGTGCTGTTGAATGTGCGGCACGCTAGATACACGGGGCCGAATGAGCGACAGCGAAGCGAAGCACTTGATGCATATAAGAATAGAACGCAGACGCACCGGGACTGGGACGCATGTACGGCAGCGCAAGCGGGCCACTCGACGGGTTGCCTTGCGCTTTCTATCCACGCACTCAATGACGCGTATATCCATCGAACGAACGAAGCGCACCTGCGAGTAGCCCGTATAATCAGGACACTGCGCCAACACGCGCCCGCTGAGCACAACAGCAGCGAACACAGCGGAGAGGGTCAGTTTCATCTTCGTCTTCAGTTTGTGTATGCGGTGGTGGAATGGTGGTGGGTGGAACACCGACGCGGGGCTGACGTTGGCTGCTGCTTCTGTTTTATATGCTGGCCACTGGCGCGCGGAGCACATGGTGAGCCGCAGAGAAACGGTGGTTCGGTGCTCACGAGGACGCGGCGATGTCGTATAAGGGCACACCTGACCGCCGACGCGAGATCAGACGTGTGATCTTCCATCAGCCAATCAGGGAGGGGCGGATCAGGCGCGCCGGGGTGGGTTAGATAAGATGGATTGTGGTAGATAAGGAGGATAGGGGCGGTTGAGGTTGGTTCGTTCGCACGATGATATCGTGGCTGATTGCGTATACCGATGGCAGTGGTGCAGTTGGGCGAGATCGAATCTGGAGGCCTCAGTCCGGGCCTGGGAATTCACAATGTCATGATGGCAGACCCGAGATTGACACATGAAATTCTCTTTTGGGTGATTGTCTCACTTAAGTGGGGTTTGCGTCAATTGAATGGTTCCAACGCGGTTGCATAATATTTGTGGATGATGCAATCCACGGTAGAGGAAAAAAACTGCGGAAGTCACACAGCATGGCCCCGCCTGGATTCGAACCAGGTTCATCCGCTGTACTTTTAAACAACCCCGCCAACGACGGCAGATGCACACCAAGTGCTACAGGGTCTTATTCCCTATACTTGCGTTCTAGTATACCTAGCTGATGATTTCTGCAATATATATATATATATATATATATTTCTCGGTCATGAAAGACCCAGCCTGGAATTGAACCAGGTTCCTCTGCTTTAATTAGATTTGTTAGCGGGCACTAAAGGCCGCGTGCTACTGAATCTTATTTTCCTCACTTCTGTAATGGCATAACTAGGTTGAAATCCGCTGATTACTTGTGCACAAAGGCAAAAAATAAATTGCATCACAGACTAAGCTGATTCGAACCAGGTTTGTCTGCTGTAATACAAGTTGTAGATCAATGAAAGCAGAAACACGCCCCATGCAACCGGGTCTCATTCACCCTACTTCCGGTAGAGGTTAAAATCGGGCAGAAAACGTGTGCCACAGCGCAAAAGTGGAAGTCAGTCTGCAGGTCCATCTGCTTTAACTTCTGACATTGCCCGGGGAAAATGAAGGCAGATGCACACCCCGTGCAACCGGGTCTTGTTTCCTCTACTTCGGTCGCAGTATAACAGGGTTAAAATCGGTCGATTACTTGGGCACAAAGGCAAAGAACCAGGTTCTTCCGCACTAATTATGGATGGAGATCCTAGTAAAGGCAGATGCACACCTCGTGCAACCGGGTCTTGTTTCATGACTTCTGCTCCGATGTAAGTAGTGTGCAACCAATTGGCAACCTATGCAAAAAGCACCAGATTTACTGACCTATGACCCAGCCTGGAGTCGAACCAGGTCCTTCTGTTCATTCGATGGATATGATATGCATGCACACCGAGTGCTACTGGGTCTTATTCCCCTTACTTCTGTCGCAGTATAACAGGGTTAAAATCCGCCGACCGGCGACAACTTGTGCAAAAAAGCAACCGATGGATATACTATTACCCGGCCTGGAATCGAACCAGGTCCTCCCGCCAGATTTTGCCACACTGCACCATTTATCAAAAGCAGATGCACACTCCGTGCTACCAGGTCTCATTCCCTCGAGTTTGTATCCTTTACGTACGTTATACATCCGAGGCAAGGTGAAAAAAAAAACGATTTCTATTTCTCGCCATGACCCAGCCTGGAGTCGAACCAGGTTATTCTGCAGTAATATAGTTTCAAACCTGGCGAGTAAGGGCAGATGCACACCAAGTGCTACTGGGTCTTGTGTACCCCACGTCTGTTCCCGTATAGCCAGGGTAAATTTGACCGATGAATTGGGCAAAAAGGTATGCTTGTTACGTTTGAATGACCCAGCCTGGAGTCGAACCAGGTCCTTCTGTTCATTCGATGGATATGATATACGGAAAGCAGATGGACACCCCGTGCTACTGGGTCTTATTTACCTAGCTTATGTTCTGATACAACTAGGGTAAATTTGACCGATGAACTAGGCAAAAAGAAACCCGTTGCTGCTTTGTTATGACCCAACCTGGATTCGAACCAGGTCCTTCTGCCAGATTTTGCCACGCTGGACCGTTTGCTGAAAGCAGATGCACACAGAGTGCTACTGGGTCTTGTTTACCCCACCTCTGTTCCCGTATAATCAGGGTAAATTTGACCGATGAATTGGGCAAAAAGGAATTATTGCTACGTTTGAATGACCCAGCCTGGAGTCGAACCAGGTCTATCTACTATAATTATGCTACAAACCCGGGCGATGTGGGCAGATGCACACCTTGTGCAACCGGGTCTTATTCCCTTACTTCTGTTTCAGTATACCGAGGTCAAAATCAGCCAATGCTTTGAAAAAAAACAAGCATGCCCAAACAAATGACCCAGCCTGGAATCGAACCAGGTCCTTCTGTGTCAATACTTCGCCCATCCGATGGAGTGAAGGCAGATGCACACCTAGTGCTACTGGGTCTTGTTTCCCTCACTTCTGTTACAATATGAGTGGGTGAAGCAAAATAGGGTTGACTAGTGTGATGCAAAAAGGGAGATGATTTCCTTTTATGACCCAACCTGGAGTCGAACCAGGTCCTTCTGCTTTAATCTCGGTACCACATCTAGGAATGAAAGCAAATGCACACCCATGCAACCGGGTCTGATTCCTCTTACTCTGTTCCAGTATGAGTGAGTGAAAAAAATGTGGGTGACTGGGATTGAGCAAAAAGACATCGCGGCGCATTTTTATGACCCAGCTTGGAATCGAACCAGGTCCATTTGCTTTAACTTCTGACATCACCATAAGTGAATGAAGGCAGATGCACACCCGTGCTACTTGGTCTCATTTCCTTTCTTTCGTTACAGGCTAAAATCGGCTGATTATTTGTGGAAAAAGCAAAACGTGGACGGCAATGTTTATGACCCAGCCTGGATTCGAACCAGTTGTCTGCTGTAATTTAACGCGAAGAATTGCGTACTGAAAGCAGATGCACGCCGAGTGCTACTGAGTCTTAATTACCCAACTTATGTTCCAGTATAGCAAGCGTAAATTTGACCGATGATTTGGGCAAAAATAAATTATTGTTACGTTTGAATGATCCAGCCTGGAATTAAACCAGGACTCTGCTCGAACACCAGATCTCCAAACTAATGAAGTCAGATGCACACACCAAGGTCTTATTTTGCCGACTTCTAGTCAAGAATAACTGGCGTGGAATCTGGTGATGACTTGCCCCACAAAGCAAACAAAAAAGAATATTACACGGAACCCAAGACCCAGCCTGGAGTCGAACCAGGTCCTTCTGCTTTAATTGTGATCGATATTAGCAGTACGCACTAATGGAGGCAGATGCACGCCGCGTGCTACCGGGTCTTATTCACCCACTTCTGTTCCGATACAACTGGGGTAAAATTCAGCCGATAACTTGGGCAAAAAGAAACTCGTTGCTGCATTGTTATGACCCAGCCTGGAATCGAACCAGTTGTCTGCTGTAATGTAGCGTGATGACCTTCGCACTGAAAGCAGATGCACACCTCGTGCAACCGGGTCTTATTCAGCCTACTTCTTATCCAGTATGAGTGGGTGAAAAAAAACCGGGTGACCGGCATGGAGAAAAAAGATTGAACGCCCCATGGTATATGACCCAACCTGGAGTCGAACCAGGGTATTCCACCGTAATTTGGGAACTGCTTTGGACGAAATGAAAGCAGATGCACACCTCGTGCAACCGGGTCTTGTTTCCTCTACTTCCGTCGCAGTATAACTGGGTTAAAATCGGTCGATTACTTGGGCACAAAGGCAAAGGCCAAAAAAAGATACCTTCAATGATTTCTATGACCCAGCCTGGAGTCGAACCAGATTTGTCCGCGGTAATATTGCGTCAGCCTCGATTTACTGAATGAGGGCAGATGCACACCCCGTGCAACCGGGTCTTATTTAGCCTACTTCTGTTCCAGTGTAACTGGGTTCAAATAGGCCGAGAACTTGGGCACAAAGGCAAAGGCCAAAAAGATACTTTCAATGAATTCCATTACCCAGCCTGGAGTCGAACCAGGTGTCTGCTGTAATTTGACGTGACGAGTTCAAACCAAAGAAGGCAGATGCACACCTCGTGCAACCGGGTCTTATTCCCTGCCTTTGGATATTCTGAAAGATATGCACCTCGCAGGTGAGGCGGGCAAGAAATGTGTCAAAATCCACGCAAGACCCGGCCTGGATTCGAACCAGGTTCCTTCTGCTGTAATTTGTATTCGCTCCCATCAATGACACCCCGTGCAACCGGGTCTTATTTCCCTCACTTCTGCTACATTGTACAATTGTAAAAGTAGTGTGCAACCAACTGGCAACCTATGCAAAAAGGATAAGATTTACCGACTATGACCCAGCCTGGAATCGAACCAGGTCTTTCCACTTAAATTTGATTGACAGATCCCTCAGCGAAAGCAGATGCACACCTCATGCAACCGGGTCTTATTTCCCTACTTATTTTCCAGTATGAGTGCGTGAAAAAAAACCGAGTGACCGGCATGGAGAAAAAATATTACGCTCAATGGTATATGACCCAGCCTGGAATCGAACCAGGGTCTTCTGCTGTAATCCATGTCGCACACTCTGTGTAATAGAGGCAGATGCACACCCCGTGCTACAGGGTCTTATTCCCTCATTTCTGTTACAGTATGAGTGGGTGAAAAAAAGCCGAGTGGCCGGCATGGAGAAAAAATATTGAACGCTCAATGGTATATGACCCAGCCTGGAATCGAACCAGGTCCTGCCAGTTTTTTTCGCGCTGCACCGTTTAGCGAAAGCAGATGCACACCGAGTGCCACTGGTCTTATTTCCCATACTTCTAGTCCAGTATGAGTGGGTGAAAAAAAATCCGGGTGACTAGGATGGAGAAAAAATATTGAACGCCCATGGGAGATTTATGTGACCCAGCCTGGATTCGAACCAGTCGTCTGCTCAATTTCAAATGAATGCCACCACCTAACGAAGGCAGATGCACACCGAGTGCTACAGGGTCTACTTCTTTTCCGGTATAACCAGGGTTAAAATCGGCCGGTGAATTGGGCAAAAAGTATGCTAGAGCCGGTGGATGACCCAGCCTGGAATCGAACCAGGTCCATCTGCCACATTTTGCCACACTCGACCGTTTACCGAAAGCAGACGCACACCGAGTGCTACCAGGTCTTATTTCACTTACTTCCGCTCCACTGTAAGTAGTGTGAAATATGAAATGACTGAATCAATGGAGATGCACACCTCGTGCTACCGGGTCTTGTTTCCTCTACTTCCGTCGCAGTATAACAGGGTTAAAATCGGTCGATTACTTGGGCACAAAGGCAAAGGCCAAAAAAAATACTTTCAATGAATTTATGACCCGGCCTGGATTCGAACCAGGTTCATCTGCAGTAATATCGCGGTAATTCAATAAATGAAGGCAGATGCATACCTCGTGCAACCGGGTCTTGTTTCATGACTTCTGCTCCGATGTAAGTAGTGTGCAACCAATTGGCAACCTATGCAAAAAGCACCAGATTTACTGACCTATGACCCAGCCTGGAATCGACCCAGGTCCTTCTGCCAGATTTTGGCACGCTGCCCGTCTACCGAAAGCAGATGCACGCCAAGTGCTACTAGGTCTTATCCACCCTAATTATGTTCCGATACAACTAGGGTAAAATTCGCCGATAACTTGCGCAAAAAGAAACTCATGGCTGCTTTATTATGACCCAGCCTGGAGGCGAACCAGGTCCTTCTGCTTTAATTCTGATTGAAACCACGGATTAATTAAGGCAGATACACACCTCGTGCAACCGGGTCTTGTTTCCCCTACTTATCCAGTATGAGTGGGTGAAAAAAACCCGGGTGACCGGCATGGAGAAAAAAGATTGAATGCCCATGGGAGATTTATATGACCCAGCCTGGAATCCAACCAGGGTCCTCTGCTTTAACCTTAGTGCCGTCTCAACAAATGAAGGGCAGATGCACACCTCGTGAAACCGGGTCTTATTCACTCACTTCTCTTACAGTATGAGTGGGTGAAAAATAGGGATTTCCTGGTTTGGGCTCTGGAGCAAAGAAAAAAAAACTCCACCGTCCCGGAGAATGACCCAACCTGGAATCGAACCAGGTTATTCCACAGTAATGTTGGAAAGTTTTGACGAAATGAAAGCAGATGCACACCTCGCGCAACCGGGTCTTGTTTCTCTTGCACCTATTACAGTATGAGTGGGTGAAGCAAATAGGGTTGACTAGTGTGATGCAAAAAGGGAGACGATTTCCTTTGATGACCCAACCTGGAGTCGAACCAAGTCCTTCTGTGTCAATCTTATCACACATTCAGTGCAATGAAGGCAGATGCACACCCCGTGCTACTTGGGCTCTATTCCCTCAGTTGTGTTATGGTATAACAGGGTTAAAATCCGCCGACAACTTAAAAGCAAGATATGGATATTCTATGACCCAGCCTGGGATCGAACCAGGTCCATCTGCGTTAACTTCTGAAATTGCTCGGGGAAAATGAAGGCAGATGCACACCGAGTGCTACTGGGTCTCATTTCCCTGACTTCTGTTCCAGTATTACTGGGTCAAAATCGGCCGGTGAATTGGGCAAAAATCATAATCTGGATCGAAGACCCAACCTGGGATCGAACCAGGTCCTTCTATTCATCCGATGGATACGATATACGGAAAGCAGATGCACACCGAGTGCTACTGGGTCTTGTTTACCGTACTTTTGTCAGAGTATAATAGGGTTAAAATCGGCCGATTACTTGGGCAAAAAACACGACCACAGTTTTTATGACCCAGCCTGGAGTCGAACCAGGTCCTTCTGCCACATTTTGCCACACTCGACCGTTTACCGAAAGCAGACGCACACCGAGTGCTACCAGGTCTTATTTCACTTACTTCCGCTCCACTGTAAGTAGTGTGCAACCAACTGGCAACCTATGCAAAAGCATCAGATTTCGAGCCAATGACCCAGCCTGGAGTCGAACCAGGTCCTTCTGTTCATTCGATGGATATGATATACATGCACACCGAGTGTTACTGGGTTTTATTCCCCTTACTTCTGTCGCAGTATAACAGGGTTAAAATCCGCCGACCGGCGACAACTTGTGCAAAAAAGCAACCGATGGAGATACTATTACCCAGCCTGGAATCGAACCAGGTCCTTCTGCCAGATTTTGCCACACTGCACCATTTATCGAAAGCAGATGCACACCCCGTGCTACCAGGTCTCATTCCCTCCAGTTTCTAACCTCTACGTACGTTACACATCCGAGGCAAGGTGAAAAAAAAAAA